GGATAGGATTCTGGATCCATCTAAGAATAATTTCATGAAATATTGGGCAGAACCTACCCATTACTTTCAGAGAGAAACATTTGAGGGTGATGCACTCTCTGACTACTTATAGCCCTGTTCCCTTAACTGAAAGAGGATCTTTTTTAATCTAAATTCAGATTCCCACCACAATCTAATGATAGGTTTCATCAAAATATGACTAACGTATAAACTGATATAATCTGACCAACTTGACCATTTCGTTTGTTTGCTGGTATGGTCTGGCAAGCTGCAATAACTGAAACAGAAAAACAACCCAACAACCCAATATTTTGTTTTAACTTACTGAGTAATTAAAGAAAGACAACACATGGTACATTATTATGTATATGGGTTTTGCTAATATCCTTTATAATGATAAAAAACACATTTGCCTTTGGAATTTTTGGCATACAAACATGTCAAACAAGAATAGAAACACTCGATCACAATAAAAAGTATAAAGACATTTTACTTTAACATTTGGATTGGATTGTTTATGAAACATATAAATATGCATGTTTTAGCTAAGAATTGATATATGATGTTGGGCTATTAATTTAAAATCACTCTTCGCCTGTGGTCCGTCAGTCCTTAATCAATATTCTTGTTACTGCTATTACTCAGAAAGTATTGGATTTTCAAATTTCACATGGAGGTCTTTTCCAGGTAAAAGTACATGAGGAATCTTTCTCAAATATATTATGTATGTTTCCTTTGTCTTTTTTGAACATGTTTGCATTTTAGACAGAATAAACAAAATGGCCCATAGACAGCCATCTTGGATTTTTACAGTTAATATTTGTTATCACTATTTTACAGAAGGTATTTGAGGGATCTTTCTTAAATTAGATATGTAGGTTCCAATTGGTATAACGCTGTCCATGTATACTTTTGATACTAGTTGAAAAAATTAAAATTGCCGACATGTGGCCATCTTTGATTTTAACGGTAAAGGTTTGTTATTGCTATATTCTTGTTAGAAATATTCCTGACCCTAATGAGAATTTGAGGCATAGATTCTAAGTCTGCACACAAATTCAGTGATGAGACTCTCTTGGGCTCTAAGATAGGGACTACAGTGTACTATAAAATAGGTATGAGGAGTCACTGGGTGTACCATAATTTTTTGGAGCAGGTGTACTTGTACCCTGAAACTCACAAGGAAACCGAGGAATGTTTTCAGGCTTAGGTGTTATGTTATGTTTCCCAGTTTCACTGATAATTCTAATCCATTCCATCTCAAGGGGAGACATATCAATGGAAGACTCCTTTTTCACATTGAAATCCTTATCTTCATTTATGTTTCAGTACTATGTATAAGCCCTAGGCAATAATATCCCCCACCAAATACCTGAATGTCGACACACCTACCCTCTACTGTAACACTTAAATGACCCATTGATCGATACTCCCCTACCTATAAAGCTAAACCTTCCATCTTTATGTAGCCTGAAATAAATTGATTGCGACTTTTTCTGTATCGAAGGAGATAAACCCTTAATAAGGAAGACTTCACTCCTAGTTCAAAGTTCCCAGACTGCAGGGAGTCATTCAGGAATAGTATCCGGTCTCTCAGACTCTTTTCCTGGCTCCTAAACGAATCAGGATCAATGTGACCCTTGTAACGATTCCACTCTATGATAGAATAGGGCGGTATCTCCACAAGATCAATTTTACAATAGGAAATGCAGAAACTAAATTCATAAATTCATTTATGTATTTTAATAAATACAACTGTGCACTTTCATCCATTGAGTGACGTAACTCAATGAAATGTCCACTCTTTACAGTTAAATCAGATGTACCAAGCCAAATATAAAGGGTTATTAACTTACTTGACCATGAGTTCTAACAAGATTACCTTATTTCTATATAACCATGGCAGATAATCAGCAAACCTGGCTCCAGCTATAGAAATTATTTGAAGGTCTAGGATCTTATTCCTCAAGATCAAGCAATATCTAAATTTCTGGAAAAAAAAGAAAACTCTTTACAATAGGTAAGTCTAGTACAGGTTTACCCAGTAATTTTCCTTCCCACTCGATTTGTTTCTGGATGTACATGTACTTATTTAACATCAAGTTTATTCCCTAAAAATAACAACCTCTGTTACAGATTACAGATTTCATCATCTAGTAACATGTACTCACATATTTAGTCTTGACTCCTGCTTGAAGGGAATCTTCTGGGGTTTTAGCTGGCCCGTTAAACAGGGGGAAAGGACCTTGACCTAGTCATAAGGTCACAAGGGTCAAATATGCTAAAAAATTCAAACAACAATATCCTAAGAACCATTTGGACTATAGTCATGATACTTGGGTATGTTATGTAGACCAGCAGCGAGTATCTTGGTTATTATTACAGTAATGAGGTCAAAGGTCACCTTTAAGTGCTAGTCAGGGGTCAAATGTCAACCTGGGTTAAAAGCTTTAACACTTCATCTCAAGTTTCATAATGCCAAGGATCATACTATTCGGTCAGTAGGTACCTGGGATGGAGTGCTATAAAGTGTTCTCATTAAAATGACCTTGACCTACTTTTAAGGTAACAGGGGTCAAATATGTTAAAAACTTCAAACAACAATATCTTAAGAACCATTTGATATAGAGTCATGATACTATGATACTTCGGTTTGTTATGCAGACCAGCTGTGTGAATCGTTTAACTGCTAGCCAAAGTCAAAGGTCAACATGGGTTAAATCTTTAGAATTAAAATTTCAAATTTCAAACAACAATATCTGTAGAACTGTTTAAGAGATGTAAAAATGTCTTGTGTTCTAGTTACCAAATTTGGTCTGAAGTTACCTATATGTCAGTTTCATGTAACAAAAGAAACTGGTGAGCGATACAGGCCCTCTGGGGATGTACAATCTTAACCTAAACGATGGATACAAATTAGGATAGAACTATA